AGTTTGTGAATTGACTGTGAATTCAAAGTTTTAATTCACTCATACCTATACTTAACTGTACATACTTGAATTGCAAAGGCTGATTTTCATGCGGGGGTAAATAGACATTCATCTGATTAATGTAATTTAATTCTGAGTTGTAGCTACACTCACCTGAGAGACATCTGATTGTAAATACGGAATGGTGTATATTTTGTATTATATAATCGAGAAATTTTGTAAATAAATTCGTATCAAATATTGTAAATAGTATAGATTAGGTGTTATTACAATCATTTTTCTGGCCTGCATCCAGTCCTTCTGTTGCAGTGTCCGTAAAGTGAGCACACTGTGACAGGTGGCCCCATCAGGGCCAAAATTAATACTTTACATAACGAATGCTCCAAATCAAACAAAGCTAAAAGTTTAAAAACAAACAAATGAAAAAGTGCATAAACAAAGGACATCTAGAAAGTGAAAAAGGTAAAGTAAATCGTTTAGTTTTGTCCTTTGATTGTTTGGCTCTGTCCTTTGATCGTTTAGTTTTGTCTGTAGATCCTGTAAAACTACGGACTGAACCACTTGAGCGCGTGGGCGCAATGGAACACAATGCAAATGTTGCCCTGTTCCTGGGCCGAATTTGCACGGTAACGTAAAAGAATAGAAGTGTTCCACATGACGTAACATAGCGGGTAAAGGCATTTCAGGTAGCGTACCAAGTCGATGGATGCGCTTGCATTTTCGAATCTGTGTATTTCTGTAGGCAGTTACATGTACGCCAGAAGGCGCGCGTTTCCCCTCAGACTCATGTAATTGAAGACTTGCCGTGAAAAATCACATGACTGAAAATCCTCTGTAGGCCTGTAAGCTCCAGCTTTACTATTATGATCTTTATGGTGTAGCAATATCGTGCCTAACCCGCGCACTTTGTTCCCGAAAGACCTTGCCTTTTTGGAGAACCGAAGTGGCTCATTCGGGGGAGTTCCTTGCTTATGGGACGTAAATCTTAAACACGTTTCAAGTAAGTAGCATTCTGTCAAGTGGAACGCTGAGGAAATATCATGTTTTTGTTCATTTATCTGTCCCCTCATCTCGGCACGCTTCCGTGTCTCGAAATTTTACGTTGCTTTAAATGATCAGGCAGTATACCTATTTATTACCAGCAAGGTTATCAGCAAGTTTGCTGTTCTTTGTTACTGCACTCGAACGCTTTGATCAAACGCTGTTGGTCACTACTTTCGAAAGCTTCTAATGCTTGCCAACGACGGGATGCCAAACCGCTATCGTTCTGCATTATTGCATTTAGCATGGCAATCAAAGGATTGGTAAAATTTCATAAAAGGCACGAAACTAAGTGAGTCGTCAACCATTTGGCGATGAATCTATTAAATTGGCTGGGCAAATTCGAGAAACGGGGTTCAACTGCAAAAATATAAGAACATGTAAGATATCATTACTCACGTGCAATTGTCCATGTTGCTTTATTGCCACAAGTCACTCTCATGTACCCCCTAATTCGGCCTATAAAAACCTGTGCTTAATCTGACTGAAGTCAAATAAGCAGTCAGTTTTCGGGGCTCGTATGATAGATCCTAGGTCATTTTGCATTTTCAATGTTCCACATAAATTTTTATGTTGATTTCACTTAGAACAGGTGGTGTGTATCGATTTTCACCTTAACTAATGCGTAAAGTCTATTTAAAAAAGCTCGGGCGGAATTTGTTCCCCGGACACTCAAATATCAAAGCAGTATATCGTAAGGAGAGGGCTTGCGGTGATACCAGTACATAGATGCACATTAGAAGAGATTTGGCTCTGATAAGAACCGGTGGGTGTGTACTCGACGTTCGACCAGTGTGCTCTGGTCTTTCAGAACTCCTAAGGACGACCAGAGCACTTAAAGTCGAAATTTTAGTTGTTGGATTGTGGTTGATAGAGAATCCCATGGAAAAAATATAAACATGCCCTTAGAACTATAGGGTTTGTTTTGGTTTGTGAGTCTATGATTAAACCTTTCTACACTATTATCAATTTTCAATCCACTTCTTTCACGGGAAAATGTTCTCAGGAAAGAAATTCAGAGGAATTCCCAATTCAGAGGAAGTTTCGTGATGTCGTCTATTGCAAAGTGCGCTGACCGTCATGAATCATCTTTGGTCGCTGTAATTTGGAGCAGCCCTTTTCTCTGGTGTTATATATTACCGACAGACAATCCCAACTCCGAAGCATGGTACAAGGATTTTCACTCCTTACCATTTGACTGACCCGTTTTGTCCGAACAAAATGGTCATGGTGACCGCGAGCGATCTTCAGGACACGGTTCATTGTTAGTGTTGTAGTTTTATGTGAGATCCGAACATTCATTCTCTGTGTACATGTTTTTAGTATTGACCACTTATAGTATACTGTACAAGTGATCCATACACAAAAGACTGAAATGAGAGTTTACATATATCTCTAATTTCAGTAATAATGTCATTCAATTAGATGCTTAATTTAGAAGGCTGCCGTTGCACCTTCCAACTTGGCCAGTCTTGAGTACCATTCCAAGGAGACCTGAAAGCACTAATTTTGAAAAAAGGCTAACATTCAAAGGAGACCTGAAAGCATAGATTTAAAAAAAGGTTTCACGAACTGAAAGGACTGACTCAACTAAGCTTAATACAGAGTAAACTTTCAAGAGGAAACTCGTATACACTGCAGCACATAAAAAGGAGAAATGAACGTTAAGCAATTCACTTTTGGACTGTTGATTAAACAGTGGCGCAAATGTGGTATATTTCTTGAAGGGATATTTGGGGGCCCTCAATAGATTCGGCTACACACTCACACACGTATACATGTAGACACTGCGGATGGAAGGCATACTTTCCAAACTATAAGACGGAGGACTTCACGTCCATGTGAGTGCAGCCTTTAACACCGAGGACAACACACACAAGTTCTTGGTTGTTTGGGCCGTTAAAAATACGTTGCGTTATTAGCCTACTACTATAGGGTTCATCATCAATATGGTATAATATCTCGAGAGGATGTCTGGTGTGGCTACAACTTCATTGTGTTACGACAAAAGTCTTTGATGTTTCTCCAAGTACGGGTCTGCAGCGCCACAGTGCAAGCTACTTCGATGTCCAGCTTGCTAGGAAATTTCCTCAACTGGAAGAATTTGCGCAGGCCTTCTTCGCTGTGTCCAGGGATGGCGCTTCAAGGGTTCCCTTCTTCGTGATGCAGCAGCAACACCAGGAAGCTGTCCTATTAATGTAGAGGCAAGAAAAGGACATTAGAAATGTAGGCGACAGCTCAGCAGACAGCCTGTCCATGTGACAGACAGACAGACCTTCAGACAGACAGACAGACCTTCCGACAGACAGACAGACCTTCCGACAGACAGACAGACCTTCCGACAGACAGACCCTCCGACAGACAGACAGACAGACCGAACCGACCGACTCACCGACCAAATCTTACTGTTTTTGACGGATTCATCGCAGGAGTCTTCACTGCTGTCCCCACTGTTGCTGCTGTCCTCTTCACTGGTGAAGCCGTCTGAGAGTAGACCCCAAATTGAGATCATTCAGTTAGAGCACACATACATGCGTGGGCGTTTGGCAGTCTCTGCTTGGTGTTGGGAATGGGGGGGGGGAGTGGCCAACCAAAATGGAACATTATTTTAGGAGTTCTTGTCGCAAGATAAATTTATTGGGGTGACTTTTGGTCCCTTTCTTTCTTTGTACTGCTCTGTTTTTCGGGGGTTGAATAGGAAGAGAGGTACTGTTTCCGGCCGAGTATGATGCCCTACAAAGTAGGAGTCTGGGTTGGGTTGACTTGGTTTGAAGACAAGCGTTGGGTAGACGGAACATGGGAAACATTGTTTGAGTACAAGGTGCCCTTACCGCCAGTTACATGCAGATCGTCCAAGGATTTGCCCTGTTGGGAAGGCAGGTTGCCACTCTTCAAACTCAGGAAAAGTCTAGACAGTCTGGTGACCTGCTGTACAGTATCTGGCAACTGGTAGTATTCGCGATGTACCGGCGCAGATCGTGGCCCATGAAGTTGGCTCAGTTTCAAACTGATGTTCCTTTAATGCAAGGATTTGCGATGCAGTTGATACATGTTTACGGAATTTGGTGGACCGGATGCTGGATGCATTGTCAAGGCCAGCCTTATCTGCATATGCCCTTAAACAGTCACTCCCTCGTATGTAGCCTCTCCCACCATAACACCATGCAAACAAGAAGTTGTTGTCTTGGGCTACTCCAGCTTCATGTCTCTTGGCGACCAGAGCATTCAACCACGCTACTGCCTCATTGCTTAGAAGCACAGGACCAGTTCTGCCTCTCTTGCTGACTATTTCGGACCATCACGGACCATCTTGCACAGCTGGCGTTCTAAATCACTCAACAGGCATTCCCCCTGCTGTGCTGTGCTTGTGGAAATCTTCAAATTTCATCTTTGCAACCTCCCCCTGCCTTCTTCGGTTGAACATGATGAGGTGGCACAGACTGACCTCGTTCAATTTCTGCCAAACTAGCCTGATTTGTCTGCCCAGGTGGACTACATCGGCATTTGTCGGAAGAATGGTGACTTTGTTGCCCTTTCCTTGGTACAGCGTTCTGTGCGTGCGCGTGCACACAAGGTCTCGCCAGTTCAATTCACACAACTGCAGAAACTCTATCACACGTTCCGCTTTGTGTTTTTGGCCGGACTCTAGGGCACTTCCTTTCAAGACGAGTGCACATTTCTTGAATAACCAATTTTCAGTGCTAGTGACGGAACATCGTACAACTGTTTGTCTTCCCTGAAGCCGGCAATATCGTGCACGGCCTTCACAATATCAGAAAGGTGGTGCGGATGGACAAAATGATCCGAATGATGCAGTTGGTTGCTGTGTGTTCTTTCGGAGTTAATATGACGAGTCGACCCAATTCACGTTCCCTGTTACGGATGTAGCCATGCTGATCTACATCGTGCCCTAGTTTCACGTATTCACGCATGGCTAATTCAACAATCAACCTGTCATTCTTGACTACCAAAGCCACATCATCTCTCTTCATTGGACTAAGAACCTGGTGTAACTGGAACGACACGCCAACAGGAAGAGGCTTCAACAAATCACTCTTGTGAGCGACCCGTCCACCCACATGACCCCTCTTACCGGTGCTGTCAGTCTGTGGAGTGGGTGCTGGCTTCAAAGACAACACAAATTAGTACGCACATAATAACCGTAACAATATACGCATGGTCCATATGCATGGGGAGATACCTTGCGATTTGGCCTGTACCCGACAACGAGCACACCACTGCCTTCACGAAGAACCTGACAATTGTGCCTGTGATTACATATATTGCGAATTTTCAACAGACGTTTCCTACGCACACTAGCGTTGGGCTGATCGGCGATCTCGATGACTTCTCTTTCTTCCTTGTGACATGACTGGGGATGACTGGGGAGCTTGGCCTGGGGTACATCGCAGTAAAAGCAGAAGTGTTTAGTTTCTTGTCCCATTTCCTGCAGCCAACTTCATTACTGGTTTGCATTACGGTCACACCACAGTTCTCCTGGACGCCAGACATGTCATCACTTGGAGCAACAGATGTAGTAGGCCTACTGCTGGAACCGGTGGACGAATCAGCCATACTGTTCAAACATCTCCACTTACGGTGGACGGGCCAGCTGGCAAGAAAACAAATTGAACATTATTTTTATTAAACCGCCTGTATTCTTTTAATTTGGTATGGACTGGTGGTGGTGGTGGTGGTGGGGGGGGGGAAACAGAGATCCGGGCTCCAAAGAGCCACATCCACCCAACCGCCCCAACAAAAATTTTAAACACAGTTAGGCCTAGAACGCTATGATGCTTTCGGACAGTTTGGAGGCTTTTATATTTGATGGGGTTATGCGTCCCGTGCACTTGGCGACGTTTATTATGCTCACCAATCCGGACAGGACAGGGTAGCAAGAGAGCTAGAGAGGGCGCTATTCCATCCAGGGATGGGCCGAAACTGTCCATTTGGAGCGGGCGGGTGGTTTTAAAGACCCGGCATGTTAAATACGTACACCGAGGACGGCTTCCAAATGCCTTGAAATTTCGCTGACCCTCATAAATGCTGACTGCAGCCTCAAATTTCACCTTATTGCGAACTGAAGACGTCCTCAGTTTACAATTCGACCTCGATTCGCGGCTGTGTTAATACATAGAAGAGCTCCGTCTGCACCTTTCACAAGTACACACACACACACACCTATAAGTGTGTATTTGCCTGCAACTGGGGACCCCCTATTGTTCCTCTTTTGTTTGTACTTTAACTTTGTTAGAAGACCACCCATATGTTTTGTACACAGTTGTCAATCGGGGACCTTCTGTCAATCGGGGACTTATTGTCTATTGTTCAAGGTCCCCAATTGAATGCAGAAACAAACTCACACACGCACAAAAAACACTGATCAGGATTGACCATATCTTGAGTAAGGTTTTTTACCCTCTCTGATTTGTAGGTGGGAGGGAACGGAACACAGGGGCACAGACCCTTAGTTTGCGTTTTTTCCACCTCTCCTGTAACCACAATTTCCTTTACATTTTAAATTTATCTAATTTATATCTTAGAAAGTTATTATGCGAGCGTGCCCTAGAAGTTTCATTAATTTATATTGCCACCTTTTGAAACGGAGGTGAGCTGCCGTGTTGCTACTTTGAGAATAACCACATTTTACCAATATTAATGATGATGATGAAAAACTAGGCTTAATAATTGAATAAGAAAAAGACGAATTTATAAAAGAAGAAGATTATTTGAGTCGTTCAAACACGTGACAGCAGCGACACAGGGTAATGAACACATATTAAAGATTCAATTTTTAGCCTCATTATCCCGGGGATAACGAGGTTATTTTTATTCTAAAGAATTAAACATATTATAAAAGACAATGATTCGCTATTATCCCTCACCATATTTGGAAGAGTTTTATACTTTGGTCAGTTAAAAGCATCCTCCAGAAGCATATGTAAAAATAAAAGAAGGCACCTGTAAACGCGTCAATAAAAGAATAGAATATGGATTCGTTAATTGTCACGATTGTGTTAAAAGATAACAGTCTTACACAGAATTCGAAGTCGAAAACGTAGGAGGCTGATATAATCAGCATTTTATTTATAAAAAGCCAAAATCTAAAACACACAAGTGCTCAAACAAATAGACATTCAATCGGTAGAATATCAAGCAGGCCACATAAAAACCAAACAAAACCAAATTTTACAAGGCAAGATCTCTAGGGGGCAAGTACTTCGCGCTCTAGTTGCTGTGTGTTACCAAAACATGATAACAGAAACTTCAAAGTCAGAGACCAGTTTAAAATCTCAGAAAACCCTGGAGCGAGGCAGTCAAGAAATTTAATTTATTATAAATTAAATGTAGGAGACCGTGCCTTAGCAAGGGCGACCTCACTGTTTAAGTTCAAAACATGAATATGCATATTGTAAAGCTGATCTACTTTGTATCTGGGTGATTTGTATGTTTGTATGTCAAGTAATTGTTACTTGGTGACCTTTGTGCTTCCCGTGCAAGGACTGGTTGTACTTGGTAGATTTCCACCAGGAAAATATGTCCAAAGATTATTGTAGACAACAGACTGAATGTATCAAAATTTTTATTATATAATAACCCCTTGTGTTTTGTGATATTTTGGTGACGTGTTAATTGAAGCTTACGTTACTACTCTATTTTATCACTACAAGAAAAAATGCATTATTCTCTGAAGCCACACGGTGTTGTTGCCTCACCGATCTCATTCATCAGCTGATGGTAGCCATGGTTTAATAAACATGATGGTTAGAGTAAAGACACCTGGCCGTAACCTGGCTGGCACGAAGCCAACGAGGTCATAATTATAGTGCTATGATAAGTAATTCCACGTAGGAAGGAAAATATCCAAACAATGTTATACATTCAGTTTGGCGCGTTACATGCCTGGCGCGAGAAGGCCACTTTGGCGTAGCTTTCAGAAGCCGCTGCATCGCAAATTAACTTTCTCTGTAGAAACTCGACGTTTCTCCATCTTTTCTGCCCTGGTGCTCTCTTGGTTTCTGGAATATTTATTTTGGACCGTCTTGGGGCATACAAGGTGATACTTCGGGGGACTGCTGAATGTAAATTTCCTTGATTAGTCGAGCAAAACGACCTTTCGTCGTCGTAGTGGGGCTTAACTGCCTCTCAGGCTCTGGACTCCTCAGGCGGGAGCGCACTGGTAGGCCTAGCCAACTTCGAATTCGTTCTGCCCTTCTTCTCGAGTTCTTCGATATCCACCCCAAAATGCCGCGTCCAAAACAGCAATACAACAGAAAGGCTCGTCGGTTACCCCCGCTGCACGCCAGCGCTAGTAGTGGACGTCGTCATGGTCGTAGCCTTCCGAGGGTTTTAGTGTCAGTTGACACGGGAATAGCGGGCCCGGTCGACCTGCCATCCTCCATTGCTACCGGCAGTCAGTCTACTGAGGCGCAACATCTGCCCGCTGCACACCCAGCGCCCAACCAGTCTATTTCGGCATCCAGTTCCAGCGGGCCAGCTCCGAACGGTGGAGGCATGACAAGTGGGGAGTCACGCTCAGGAGGTTTTTCTAGTAACGGCTTGAAACCTCATCAGCCGGACTCTGTGGTTAACAATTCTACATTTAGCGTAAGTGTAGGTTTGAGTCCAGCTAATTCAAACGGGGCTAGTCTCGTTTCTGATAATAATGACACCTCAAGTAGAGATGTAGTACTCCCTCACCAAATTGCACCGGCCATTTGAGCCCTTCCCAGCGCCGACAACATGGCGCTGGGCTTAAATCAGTTTGCTCAAGCTCAGGAACTTTGTCCCCTTTCGACTTACTACAGCATGTCTAGGCCCACATCGCTTCACTCTCTCGCGAACAATGCTCCCATTGACGTGCACATTCCCGCATCCGTGAAAGAAAAAAATTGGAATGGGCAATACCGCAATACGTAGCATTGGCATCGTTGTATCCTCACAATGCCACTCGGGTCCTGACCACAACCGATAGCGGGTCCGAGTTGACCATGGCTGTGGAGCGAGGCAAGGTGGTGTTTTCGCCGGCAACACCTCAACCACGCAAACGTGATTCACTTGATAAATGGACGAGCGCCTTTCATGTTTTCATGGTAATTTACTCCGCACGTCATCCTGCCCGTTTCCTTGAATAGCTAAAGTATGCCGAAATCGTTCGTACAGCAGCCATGCAATTCCCCGGGCTGGGCTGGCGCAACTACGATGAGCACTTTAGGTTGGATATGGAGGCAAACCCGTCGCGCTCATGGGCAGCGATGGACATGGAGCTGTGGGTGACTGTTACCACAAAAGGCCTTGTGTAAGGCCATAAAAGCAACATCATGACGTACGTTGGCCTTCCCCGGGAATTCGTCACAGGAGGTGACAGGTGGGAATTTCACGAACTAAACTGTGCGGTGCATGCTGTTAACAGTTGCTGAATTCTGAGAAGGAAACGGTTAAAGGTGGGAGTATTATGAACTTAAAGGGTCCAGGAAATGAATTTTTTCTTAGAATCACTTTTTGTGTATCGCTGTACTGTTCTTCCAAGTATGAAGACTGTTTGACATCTTGTTAGAGTTACGTGAACTGAACGGTGCACTTTTTCAAACATTAAAAAAAATTGACCATGGAGGAAGGACACAGAAGGAGTTTGAACTGCCCGGGCTATAACATCTGGCCGATTAGCACTTTCTGGCATGCCCGGTATGTCCATAGCCAGAGCGCAGCGCACGCTTGCTACCCACCACCTGTTTTGCAACCATAAGCTCCCTTTGTACCCCATGATCGTCGCCACAATTTTTCGTTGGTAATCTGCATCCCTAAAACATTGTGTACTGTAGTATACGAAGTTGAATATTCATGCCATCGTTGAGATGCTTGATATGAACCGACAACATCATCAAATGTAGTGTTTGCGCAGTTGCTTTTATTAGGCTGTATGCCATAGCAGTGGTTAAAAATAATCTAGACATTTTCTGTGTACAAATGAGTGCAAAATTGAGATTCTGTGCATTGGATGACATCATGGTTCTGCTCACGAATGTGCAAATAGCATTGGCATAAAAACAAAAAAAAAACATCAAAATATGGGTTCAAATTGAAAAACAAAAATTTTAAATCAGGTTAATTGAAACCCTAAGATGCAATCTCAAGGGTGTTTAGTAAAATTTATAAAAGCATTTGTGTTTCCTGGTTCCCTTAGCGATGCTCTGCACAGTTTTTGATTTCAAAGAAGGAGTAGACTGTGTAAAGAGACTATCGCATAAAGTGCTTGAATCTTTGCTGAATTGTAAAGTCTAATTTAATAACTTACCTTAATTAAACAGCCGTTCTCAGCATTGCTCCATGACGTACGTAGTTCGGCCACATGAATATTTGTGAACTTGTTGGAATCAGAAACAGCATTATTGGTGACGATCGAGTGACCATTACAAATTTATGGTTAATTTACTAGAGACACAAACTGTGTATTGTAAATTGATTAACTCATTGCCTTACTTAAGACAATACGCACCTATCCCGGTGATTTGTGCTCAGGAAATAAATTATAAATGTATATTAATTTCTATATTTGACCTTGTTGCTGCGAACTTTCTTCACCTTACAGTGTTCCGTGAACTGATACAGGTTTTACCCTCCACGTAGGAAAATAATTTAATCTCGGTTGATCTGACAGAAAGTAAGATCAGAACTTTGTCACAAAATGACTGAGGTAAATTGCACAAGTTTGGTTGAAGCTGTTTCACTTTAACAAACTTATTTTACTTTGAAAGTGTAGCTTCCTTAAATTCAGTTAATTAACAGATACTGGGCATGACTGTTATAACTGGTTAATAATATTTAGAGTAGATTCAAAATGAACATTAAATATTTAATCTAGTAATAAAAATACCCCTGAAATCCAAATCAGAACAATGACAAGCCACCCATATAGTATTATTTCGTTCTGTGTCTCGGGTACTGCTGTTCCATAACTAGATATATATAGGCTTATATAAAAAAAAAATATGTTTGTCGCCCCTGGGTTTTAAATCTTGAAAGAGCAACATCTGTTATAGCAGTTCATATGCTTTTAATGACCCTTGGAAAATGCACCCCGCCCCCTCTAGAAATTTCATCACATTTACACTACTGGTTAGATATCTAAATGGACCTCTTGAATATTGCTTAACGCCGCATTTTGATACCGTGCTTAAAAACATTTCTCGTAAGAAGCAAAACAAAAACTGCTCAACTTGCAATCTGGCTACAGATACATAAAGTAATAGTGAGCTGAACATTTGGACCCCAGCAAAGTCTTTCACGTGTATAAAAAAGATTCTGCAAGGTTCTAAGTATACAAATTAATGATTCCAAGCTCATTTAACTTTTTCCACAGCCTTTTTTCTGCACTATCGTCGTGGTTTATGAAGGTTGTGTGTTTTACATACGATTTGTCATAATAGTGATCGGAAAATTTCTCGTAGCTTCCCCCGAAACCATACACATTGACCTGCAAGAAAATTATGAAATTAACATTTGTCAATTGTAATATCTGTACGTATGAGAAATTCTGAAGTATTGAGCACTTTGACAAACTTCGTCATTCCATTTTTTTCGGACTGTGAGGCTTTACTATAAAAACGGTTTAGACATTGTGACAAACTATGTATAGATAAACGACTTTGGGACTTCTATAAGGAAAGCTTTAGTAATGATTGTGGCTGTGTGTGTTGTGACTTGGCCCTGATATTAGCCTTCATAATCCTCATCCTAAAGGTGTTTCTGAACTACACTAATTGCAGTCCCGGATAAATCCCTGCTTGAAAACCAATTTGTTTATTACAGTGTTTATATCATGACGTGAATTCGAGATCTGGAACCAGGTTAGAGACAGCTACTGAATGGTAACGACCTTGCCATGAGTTATGCATGGTATGGAAAATAAAATGATACATGTGAGTTTCCCGATACAGAAATCCCTTTATGATATTACCAGCTCAATGAAGCGCATTGTTGAGCGAAAAGCACTTTGATTAGGGCGTACCTCATCACAGGTGTGCAACGCTAACAAAAGCATTATTCCACCAGTTGTTGGTCGGTGAATTGGATTTCGTTGCCTGGTCGAGTTTACCCAGCTATTGTAGTATAAAAGGAAAAAGAATAATATAGGCGTAACTAAAACAATTTACATCCAGAAAGGTCCATTTCATTTTCACGTATCAAAAGATAACGCCTTTGCTGTAGATTTTCAGTTTGTCACCTCGTAAGTATTGTCTGACAGTGTCTAGGCCTAACGCATTAATGATTAAATTTTATACTTCAAACCTCCATTTCAGATATCTCTCAAAGTCTGGATGGACCAACTTGATATCTGTAGCGTTCAGTGTCTTTGGAAATCGGACTGGGTATCTGCAAAATGACAACATACACACATAATTTCGACGATATGATATACATGGATATGTATAACTGCAACACTAGTCAAAAGAAGATGACATAAGAACTAATGTTGAAATTTAAGCTTAAGAACGTTTAACCCTCGTTTGAAAACATTGCAGATGCGTTCCTGACTGTAGCATCAGAGATTCAAAGTTAACAGTTCCTTGAGCTTTTGGCAAATCATTAGTGCAACAGGTTTTTCAATGACTAAAAACAGCACGATTCACTATTGTTCGTAAGACCCTATTCTTGCCGCCGTTTCGTGCCGGTGACGAATCGGAATGTAATTAATGTACCTTCCTTCAATGACAGTCCCACCGTCGCCATGTAACACTGACGCAAGGTAAGTGTAAGTCCAGTAGCTGTCAGCAAAAAACACATATCGAATGCCCTGTGGATGTGATAAATAATAACAGTTGGGAAAAACAAGCCACAGGACCTACAAAGTACTGAGAGTTATGAAAAATGTCATCGAGGGTATTGCAACAATGCACGTAAAACATAAATCGCAGACTTATAACACTCACTAAGTGTATAACGCTGGAATTCAAATGAATAAAACGTCGAGTATTTAAGGGATTCTATCACAATATAGGTATTTTGACAGAATTTTTGGGCAAAACACGATTCCGAATAAGTGCTTGTTGTGGTTTAAAGGGGTCTATATTACAAAACTGTAATGGCCCAGTGAATAATGTTGCTCTTTGCATGCGCGACAGAACCCCTTAATCTATGCGTTTGTAAATTTTTTTGTTGCATACACTACTTCTACTTGGCTCTCGGTGTCTGTCTCCCACAACCTGTTCGGCCGGGCCCAGTTTATCTTACAATTTGTAGAGAATATTTAATTAGATCTATTTTTTCTGGAAATCTGCCTCAATTGTGTTCATTTCAGCTGTCCTGGTGTGGTAGTTGCTTCTGCTGTATTAGCCACCATGTAGTGATGTGTAGTCAATTCGACCTCACGTTGCAATTTACACTTGATATCTTGGGTTTTCACAACTTCAGGGTTCTGTGCAGGATTCTGGCACTATTTATAAATTTGACTAATCATAGTATTGACTGTCGACTAATCAACAGTACTATTGATATCCAGTGTCATTGTGTGACTTCATTCTAAAAGCAAGCTGGAACAATTTGCCCTCCATCAACCACGCTCCTGTCTTCTTTTGCCTATTTTATTTAGCAGCTGGCGAGAAGGATATAGTCAGTGTCACATCCCCGGTTACTCCCAACCCCGTGGGTCAAGGCCAACAGAAGCCCAAGGGAAAACCCAAGACCAGTGTATCCATGGAGGATCAGGCTGGTGCGTCCCGTACGCCACTCTGCGAGAGTTCCTGTCGGGTCAAGAATAAAACCTACCGTCGCTGCTGTGTCAGCAAGATCCCTCTTAAATTTTAAGTTCAGTTAATCTTCAGATAAATTGTGCAGCTACATGTATAAACTTCAATCCCGAAAAGTCCCGAGCGCTATTCATATCGGGTAACAAGAACAACAAAATTGTAACTAGTTGCTTTAAAAAATTAATTTGTAAATCGGTTGCCGTAAATGGAATATCTTGTATCTGGTATTTAATTTTGTGTGAAAGTGCAAATAACTGCTGAACTTTATGTCCACGGGGTCGGGAGTAACCGGGGATATGACAGTCACCTCCTATACATACCTGATTTGACCTGTATCATTTTTGCTATGGTTATTGTTACCAATTAATATTGTTGGTAATGACGCATCGTATAATGCACTGTGATTCGAAATGGGTATAGCTGCATAATTAGGCATTATTTGAGAACCTCTAACAATTTTAAATGGACAAATGTAAAGGAAAATTTAAAAACAATGGGTTTATGTGGTTTTTGGGTAAAAGCCAGGAAAAATTCAAGTAATTTCCTGAAACGTCTGTAAACGTTTTGTGACTTATAAAGTCGGGACTGTAAATTGACACATTTGTAGCCCTTCAGTAAATTAACTTAAAATCAATACACCATATTAATTTAATGTCATTTTCAAAAAGGTATTGTTGTTCTTGGGTTTCGAGGGATGCCCGTTTCGAACGCATTCTTTCCGTATTGCAATTTCATAGCAGCAGTACTGGCATCCCAATCGATCAAATTAAAGCAGTGGGTCATTGGCGTTCATAGGATGTCCAACCCTATATTCGCCCCATAACCCAACGTCAGTGGCCCAGTGTTTAATTGGGTACGTCAACCGTCATCTATAACGAATTGGAGTTCACGCAGTAGTTAAAACTTTTACAGGGGACGTATGGACAGTCGGTGACTCCATTATATGCAGGGCGGCTACCGATTGGGATGTAAACTGAAAATTCACTGGAATGGTGTAGGCGGAGCTCGATTTGCCGATATTACAAAACTCAGACTTCAGCTGTCTACTCGATGGCCTCAACGGGCCCTGTTAATTGTTCACATATGAACAAACGATTTAATCGACCGACATGGATTTTTTGTATGCGCCAGTGTTCAGCTGTTTGTGCTTGAATGTAGGGATGCGTTGACGGGGACCAAGCTAGTCTGGTCCGATATTGTGCACAATTGTGTGCCATATTGATGACTGTTCAGACTTTTCATCGTTTTCTACTTTTTCAGGTTTTCGAGGCATGCTGCCTGTTATCCCAGTGGGGTACTCGCTGCGTGTTTGGCAGGAATTGTATGGGAGCGACGGGCAACAATGGGTCAATTTAAATAAATAAGTTCATATGAAGACTTTGAATTTGCCCTTAAGGTGTTACGGTGACAAATTAGCGTTCAAACGTTACAACACTATGCCAAGCACACGCTAGTTCGGGGGGCCTTCCAATCTAACTATATTTGCCAACGGTGGAAAAAAATCCGCGTACTTTATGAAATTCATTTTGATGAGTACTTTAGCCGCGTAATAAGAACTTCTAGTCAAGGAATCATTCGGAAAACACTGTGACTACTATCCATTTGTTCGAATGGGATAGTTTTCTGGTTGACAAAAATGCCATGTTTTGGGGCCCAGGATGCCAAACGTGGATTTGGACATTTTTTATGCAAAAATTATGATTGAGAAACTAAAATCAAGAAAAAGATAAGCGGCAGGAAGAAGTATGCCCTTGTAGTGTCCTTTTTGATCTGACCCCTATTTTTGTAAATAGATGATGCCAGTCTACAGGAATTTGATCACCCCATTTATAAATAGAGCACTCTAGTCTCGCTAGATGCAAATTTGTCTATAGCATTCCTTCAGTATTATGACGTTGCACCTCTCCAGTGGGAGCAAGACCGCTGTCTTCTTCAGGAGTCCGACGCGGACGGCACGACCAAATCGTCCCTGAGCGGCTAGATACGCGTCCGTTGGGATGGAAATTAATATACCGTCCCGGTATTGGTTTTTTATGTGTACTCTATTAGACATGTTTGCTAATAACTGTGGCGAGTGATTTCTATTGTCGAATAACTACTAGAATGGAGTCTACAAGCACCTGATAATTATGTGTGGTTTAATCAGGTTAGAGCCTTGTCTATAAATCTCAACAGAGGGCGATCTTTGCAGCGTTATATATACGAACGAGCAGCCGTAAGGCCAACAGACTGGGTTCAGACGTTTCAACACACACAAGCCTTCATGTTGTGTCAAATCAGTGCAATAGCTACTGTACTGGGGCACGGTATCGCTGAGCTGAAAACCAGCGGTCCCAGACTCACAAGGCACGTTGCAAATATATTAGAAGTAGCTGTAGCTACGAAAGCAGAGTTTTACTTTAACAGTTAGTCATTAAAGTGCTACTGATTCTTTATATTTGTATTCTACCTGACTTACACGACTACTTACCACTACATTCAGTATGTAAGGCACAATGCATGAATATGACACTATTACGACAAGTGCTTACAGCATGTGTAGAGCCCTGGCAGTGCTTCCCAGCAGTGTTTCAGCTTCCAAGCTAGGCTCGTGCTTTTCAGCAGCGTGTTTGATGCCTGCTTTGCGGACGTTATACAGGCGATTATAGCTCGCAGCACCGCCAGTAGCCAATCAGCATACCCCGGGCGGTCCTTCTCCCGCAAACTTCCGGAAACACCTCGCGCGCCCTCTACATATTAGCCCGCGAGTACTCAAATGTTCCTCTGTCGCGTCACATAGCCTCCCGACAGGCCTATAGCTCCCCATACCGATCAGCCGACATTTAACAAAAACGACGCGACAGTGATCTTGATCTTAATCACGGAGTTTCTGATATCTTTGTTAGTAGTTCCCGATTGAGTGCCAGAATCACCCGGGAGAGTCCCTTACTCTTGCGAAAAGTGTTCTGGGATCTTTTAAGTGCATTACCCAACACACTGGACCAACGGCTTTACATCCCTTCCGAAGGATGGGGTGAGTTAAACAGAAACAAAAATTCGATTACAAAACCCCATAGCGCAACGACGCCAAGTAAACCTTCTTGCCTCGAAGGCACACGGAGTTTCATTTAGTTAGTGACTTCGAGTTCTCGAAGTAATCAGGGCCCACAAATGCCGTCAGTGTTCGGGCAGCTGTTTCCTGTGGACGTTCAACTGCGATGATGAGGCGCAACGTGGGATGGGTCATGCTGAGGAGGACTATCAGTGGATATTTAACTGGACTCGTTGGTTAAATATTTTAATTGTATTGTAAGCCTAGTAGGCTTACAAGGTAGACCTAAGTTGAATCCGGCTAAATTTCGAAGATCTTGCCTTGTTCTCTAAAAAGCACCCGGCCTTTTCTTGTAAAGTTGAATCGCCGTCCATTATCGCATTGGTCGTTTCTTTGATGCAATTGATCTGGGAACGAATTTTATCGGTGTATCTGTTAATAACTCCTAATCCTCCACGTCGGTCCATTTCTAAATCGCCAAACTGTTGCCGTATTTCTGCACGTTCTGCATCGGTTGCAGCTTCCTCTAATTCATTTTCAACTTGTTGAATCTCTGCGTCTAATTGATCTAGCTTGCCCTGGTTTAATAAACCAACTCGCCTTTTACCGGTTATAAAGATTCGTCTAATGCGGCAGGTTCTCGGTAGTTTAACCCTTCTGTCTGGCCTCTTCTACAATGTCGCTTACTCGATCTGATATTTGAGGGGCTTCTTGCATTTCAATGTTTTCAGGGCAAATTTGTGAAAGTTTATCTAAGGCTTCTCGCACCTCTCGTTTTGTTTTACCGGTAGCGTAGTCACTGGAACCTAAAACACGTCTGACAAAATCTATGTTTGTTTTGCTTCTAATGTAATCTAAGAAACCTACTGTTGTCATGTTTTTGGGTCAGAAGAACTGTCTTACCTTCAAATTTGACATATAGACGGTCTCTACTATCGAGATTAAAGATGTTTGGATCTGTGACCGTTGGTTCATGCCCGGTTTCTCTTTCAATCGTGTCGTAAAAGTTATTAATTC